GATCAACACAGATGTGGCCCCTGACTTTATGGGAATTGTTGACTACTGGGGGCAACTGAAGGTAAATAATCACACAGTTACCGTGTGGAATTTATGTGTAAAGTCCTATGATTAAAAAGCACAGGACTAACATATATATCTACCCCAAACTGAAGGGTGGAGGACTTAATTATAGAGCTGCATGGTCCAATTGGTAGTCACCAGCCATGTATGGTAATTTAAATTTATTAAAGTGAAATAAAAGTTAAAATTCTGTTCCTCAGTCTCAGTAGTCACATTTCAAGTACTTGATAGCTCCCTGTGACACCTGCTGCTGTATTGGACAGGACATATCTGGAATGTTCCCAGCATCACAAGTTCTATTGAACAGCAGTGCTCGAAGAATGATGGTGGTTGAACTATGTGAGTTTATTCTAGGATGAGGGGCCATTTCATGTGAAGTGGTGACAAGGAGCATGGTCCACCTAAGAACCTCAGAAAAGGTTTTGGTGTGACTAAAGGGTCACATGATTCATCTCCTTCAGAACCTGTAATTCTTTGTAAAGGCTGGGTCATGGCTTTCTTTTCAAAGCAGTAGGGACTGTGGCATGGTTCCATGCAAGGGAAAGGTGTGATAGCATTTGGCTGTAACAGCGATCTCCTTGCTTATAAGACCAACGGATTGCAGAAGGCAAGCGTATAAGCACATTATGCTACTTAGTCATTGCCAAATAAAGGACAGATGTTGACTAAAAGGCTTGAAAGAATGGATGCTATGACATGAATTATGTGGGTCCCAGACTCATCACATCATTGTTTTCATCAACATTATCATTATCATTCAGTGTTCATTATGTGTCAACCATAATGAAAATACCTCCAGAGCATTAAGATCATATATAATAAAGTACCTAGTAGAGATGAGATGTTACTTCTTTATAAGAACCAATTATTAAACAATGAAATATATTCTTTTTTCTAGTGCAGAGGTCTCAGTTCTCCTTGAGCACCCTTTGTTTATATCTGGAAAAATATTAGATTGGGTTCTTTGATTACACAATGAGCTCTTGTTTTGAAATGAGACAGATGGACCTCAGTTGCATAGGAAAACAGATGGAAAGATAGGGAGGGAGATATTGCTAATTTGTGAAAGATTTTGTATATCATCTTTCCTATACAATCCTTACAATAACTCAATGACAGATTAGAATTACATTTTCTGTGAGTCAAACTGATCTTCTCTTTGCCATAGGGAAGAGATGCTGATATGAATAAGGCAAAGCCAGAGTGCTCTTGAGCTAGCCAGGAAGAACCTGAGTCTGTACCGGGCTTAGTGCCATGAGGAAGTGCATGCAGACTGCTCTGGGTCTTTGGAGGAGAAGTGAAGTCTGGCTGAGGGAATCAAGGATTGGAATGAACAAAGTCCCATTCAATACAATGTAGCTCCTTTAAGGCAATAAGCTATGAGCCAAAGCATGTTCTGGGGGCTAAGTCAATGTTTCAGGTTCTGCAGCTGGCACATGGGTAGCTGCAGTCTAGGAGGGGGCTGGATGGTGCTGAGGCTGGGTGGGATGGATGTTGGAGGGCTGTGGACTTGATCTTGCTGGTCCAGAGCAAGTAGTGAAACACTTTTACCAGGGGAATGATACGGTTGACTTTGAATTTTAAAAATCATTCTAGCACCAGTGAGGAGAATGGAAGAAGGGCGAGTCACTGTGTTCGGGTAAACTGTTAGAAAAGACTTCAACACCTTGGTGGGAGATGGTGGTGGCTTAGAGTGGAGTGATGGTGGTGGAGATGGGACACAAGTGGAGGCTGCCAGACTTCTGAAAAATCTGGGGGCTTGTTAGAGAAGAGCCCGCTCCCACATGCAGATAAAGCAGCATTCCTGCTGACTTTTCACTGTAGAATCAGGAACTGTTCTGCGGAAATACACGGATGCTTTATTTATTCCCAAGAAAGTTAAGTTTCAGAGCTTCCTGACCAAAAGCAAGTGCAGGAAAGGGGACTTCAAGCACTTGAGAGGAAGGAGATGTTCAAGGCGGTGAGGCAAGCATTGAACAATCCAGGAAAAGGAAGCAAGAGGAGAAGCTAAAACGGCAAGAGAGCTTTATGATGCCTTTCTCTCCAGTGTTTCATCTATCAAACAGGACTCCCTTACTACAGGACCAAAGCAAAATGACTTCTGTAGATCTCCTTATGAAGATATTTCTAACCATCTCCCTTTGGAAAAAAGCTAATGCAAACCTGCAGTCAAAAGGCTGAGCCTGTGCCATTCTTCCAGGGTGTGAGTGTGCATGCACGTGTGATATGCACACCCATACATACACGTTCACACGCAGGCTCACCCCCATGCAGATCCAACAGTTGGTATAGAACTTGAGAATAACTCCTGTGCCATTCTTTTTTATTTGACATGACAGTGTTTCCATAGCAATGTGAACTTGAATTTTAGAGAGGCTATTTGATGGGGCTTTGGAAAGACAGGTATAATCATTAATCGTACACGAGTCTAGCTTTTTTTGGCAATGGCTTGTTATAAAGGAAACCTGAGGGAGGGTGGGTTGCCGAGTGTGGCGTGAAACCCTTGGGCCTCTTATCCATCTGTAGTGGAAACACATTCTGTCTTTTATATTTGTGTCTTAGCGTCCTCTCTGTGGCTGCCCATTCTAGGGCAAAGAGCAACGGGAGGAACATGCAGCAAGGAACTGCTTTTTTGGTCAAAGATTTGGAAAATGAAAGTGCTTGCCGGGCACATCTTTATTTATATTTCATCACTGTAATTATTTTTGTTAAGGATTCTCATCTTATTTGTTGGAGAGTTCTTATTTAGTCACTTGGAAAGGGTTGCTTTACACCTTTGCAGTCTGTTCTTGTCACTGCATAGAGAGATTGCTTCCTTCGTTAATATTTTCTTGTAGGCTTAATCAAAGTGTGCTCTCGGTTTGAGCTGAGCGTCTTCAAACATAAGAAGCCAAATGTCCAATTCATGCGAACTTTATCAAAACTCAGAAAATTCACATGCCCCTGTATTCTTTTACTATTATCTATTCAAAACAACAGGCAACCCTGTTACTCCAGCTTCGGGTGCCAGGGGCAGAAATCCACTCTGAGCTACTTTAAAAAGAAAAATGGATACATGAACTCTGCTTCTGCAAAGTCCAGATAGAGAGGAAGCTTCATGTAGGAGTGGACAAAGACATTGCCAGAAAATTTTCATCTCCATCTCTGTGTTTCTTCCTTGCCCTGCTCTGTCTCATCATCGTTCCCCAATGTTGCCAGAAGGGAAAATCACCAGCTGCTGGCCTCATTTCTTCCTTCTCAAGTACCTGACTCTGAATGCAAAGGCAGAGGCTGTTGTCTTCCACCTCCAAAAATAAAATGCTAGTGGGACAAGTCTGATTGGCCTTTCCTGAGTGGCATGCTCCTCCCTGGAGCGTCCACTGTGGCTGAGAGGATGGGGACAATGATGGACAGGCCAGGGTCACGGGCCCATTCTTGGAAGCAGGAGAAGGGCCAACCACAAGACTGAAGTGGGGTGGCAGGCACTTCTCGGTGGGAAGACCTGTGTTTGCAAAACCAGGATTCCACAAAGCCAAGCAACCTCAGTTTTATCCATGGAACCTTCCCCATCTTTAGGATCAAAAGCTATCCACAGCAGGCTAAGCATTAAAATCACTGTGGGAACTTTATAATAAGATTCCCAGGACTCTCTCCTAAGCATATTCAATTCCGTGGGTCTGAGTTTTTAAGGCTTCCTTGGTTATCCCAATAAAGAGCTTGGGAACCACCTGTGAGTAAACACTTGAGGGATAATAATGTGCAGAATCTTGAAAGAAAGAATAAATTGAGCTAAATGTACTTTCTTGGTGCAATGTTTAATTGAACTCGAATTATTCAGAAACCACTTTCTGTTTTTGGTAGATCTCCTCTGATTCTTCCTATGTGGACTAGGAGGCAGGAGGGGCTCAGACTTGAGGATGAAAGTGCAGGGCACAGGAACATAGTAAAGACGGGTGTCGCCTTTCAACTACCGGCTTCAGCACACCCTTCTGTGTTTTGCAAAGTAAGCACCTTGGTGAGATGAAGAATGAGCTCCCATTTTATAAAATGAAAACCCCAGGAACACAGTCTTCCAGTCTTCCTTGCAGCCACAGCTTAGATGTAGGTCCTAAGGCTTTGACTTGTGAGGTTGTGACATGAACCAGCAAGGCCTGTGGTGGAGGTGAGAGAAAGGCCTCATAAACAGGAGTAGAAGAGTCAGGTGACCGATTGGGTGCTTTCCTGAGAAGAGGGCCCGATCTGAGGCTGCAGATTTGGCATGATCCGTGAGGTGCTGATAGGCTGAGTGGGTGGGTCTGAGCAGAAGGGTATGCGCAGTTGTAGTTTGCCACTAGGCTATGTTATTTCCCACTTCAGACCATCCCCGTCCTCAGCAATCTATTAAAGCTGTGAGATGGCTGCATTTTTATAAAATGTGGAACTCAAATGAGAAACACAAAAGTCACAATAGAGAAATCTGTCTACTATAGAAATTCTGAGAAACAATCTTTGAACAAAATCAAGTCTTAAAAAGGTTTCAAACTGGCAGTCCTCTGTTTAGCCCACAGTCCTATTAAGGGTAGCTGGGTATTATGGATTGAGCAGGAATTCCGTCCCCAAACTCATGCAGATTTTTAAACCCTGAAATCTTTTTTTAAACTTTTATTTAATAAGTATAAATTTCAAAAATACAGCTTTTGGATTATAGCGGCTTTCCCCCCAATAACCTTCCTCCCACCCGCAACCATCCCATCTCCCACTCCCTCTCCCATCCCATTCTTCATCAAGATTCATTTTCTTTCTTTCTTTCTTTTTTCTTTTTGACAGGCAGAATTAGACAGTGAGAGAGAGAGAGAGAGAGAGAGAGAGAGAGAGACAGGTCTTCCTTTTTCCATTGGTTCACCCCCCTAAATGGCTGCTATAGCCAGTGCGCTACGCGGATCCGAAGCCTGGAGCCAGGTGCTTCCTTTTGGTCTTCCATGCAGGTGCAGGGCCCAAGCACTTGGGCCATCCTCCACTGCATTCCTGGGCCACAGCAGAGAGCTGGACTGGAAGAGGAGCAACCGGGACTAGAACCCAGAGTGCCAGCGCCGCAGACGGAGAATTAGCCTGGTGAGCCACGGCGCCGGTTCTAGATTCATTTTCAATTATCTTTATATACAGAAGTTCAACTTAGTATATACTAAGTAAAAATTTCAACAGTTTGTACCCACACAGATACACAAAGTATAAAATACTGCTTGAGCACTAGTTTTACTGTTAATTCACATAGTACAACACAATAAGGACAGAGATCCTACATGGGGAGTATCTGCACAGTGACTCCTGTTGTTGTTTTAATGATTGACACTCTTATTTATTTATTACACTCAGTAATCACTAGAGGCTCTTGTCATGAGCTGCCAAGGCTGTGGAAGCCTCTTGAGTTCATAAACTCTGACCTTATTTAGACAAGGCCATAGTCAAAGTGGAAGTTCTCTCCTCCCTTCAGAGAAAGGTACCTCTTTCTTTGATGGCCCTACACCCTGAAATCTTAGGCCAACAGTTGATGAACTAGGATGGAGACTTGATCTAATTATGGCTTCTGAGAAGCGGGCCTGGTGGGAGGTCTTCAGGCGGTTGGGGGCTTCACCTCAGAAGGTAGTTCTCATGAAGGGGTTGGTTGCTGAAGCTGAGTTCAGCAAAGCTTCTCTCTCTGCTTCCAGGCTCACCATGTGATCATTCCTCTGCATCACCCTGCTGCTGCTGCAGCTGCCAACATCCACCAGACACCAGACTAACGGGGCTGCCTGGTCCTGAACTGTGAACCTCCAAACTGCGAGACAGAGTCCATCTTTTCCTTCTCAAGAAGCCCTCTCGGTGTTATAGATAAGGCAGCAAGGAGCTGACTGATACTCACATAAATCCTTGAAGAAGTTGCTAACGTCTCAAAGAGAAGACTTCACACATATACACACACACACAAATTAATTTGGTCTTCTACCACAAAGTGAGCTATCTGGTGTTACTGAGTTGAGTTTGCTGAAGGTTTGTCAGCAGCCGCCTCACCCATTGATGATCCCTGATTGGCCCTGGCACCCATCTGGACTCTTATTTGCAGTCGGCAAAAGTTGACTCTGACAAATTTCAGTAGGAAAGGAGTTTATTAAAGTGTACCATATGGTTCACAGCACATCCTAGAGTTGGGAGAACTGTGTTGGAAATGCTGTATTGAGAAATGACACCAGGCCTCATGCTATTGCTCTGGGACTACCAAGATAGCACGGTTAGGCTCCTGAACCAGACCCCACAGACAGCTGAACCTGCATCACCAGTTCTGGGTGTTTAATGCTGGCTACTGCTGCTGACTCACTGTGTGGACCTACACCATAGGAGGGGTTCTGTGAGGTCCCTGTTCTGCGTCAGACTCCAGCTGCAACCTGTAAGGTGAATAGGTCTGGTCGCAAGAGCTTGAGTCACATTCCTGCTCCCTTGCCTCCAGGGAAGCCACAACTGTGTAACTGGTACTTTCAGCTCTGTTGGTAGAGGCAAAGCTCTGATGTGTCATTGGGAAGAGCACTCAGACACAGGAAGGGATTTGTGATACTGGACAGCCAATAGAACAGCCGTTGTCTGCCATAGTCCCTGAAGGCCTCTGAGTTTGCTGTCCTCACCTACTACACACCAAATCCCAATTACATTAGTTGAATGGCGTATAAGACTAATGACATTAGTCATTAGAATAACACTAGTAACATCAGGAATAAATAATAGGAAGAGTGCTGGAAAAGAATAAGAAAAAAGGAGAAAAAGAGAGAAAGAATGAAATACAGCCACCAAGAGGAGCAACTCAAAGTGATCCATGCTTTGACAAGCTTTTGCTTAAAAGCAGAACCCATCAATTTCCTTTTTGTTTTTCTTCTCTCTTTTGCATTATAGACTACAAAGCTCATGCAGAGCCCTGTGAAACTCACTTCCTTCATCCTGTTTGGTCAGGAAATATTGGCCCCAGCTTAGAAGTGGTTCAGCTCAGTCAGTCGCCGAAACACCAGCTGTCTAAGCGATGAGTTGGTCCATCCAGGAGGTAGCTATTTAGCCAACAGACAGATGGCCAAGAAAGCCAAGTTAGTTGGATGATGTTTGTCATTCAGGAGGCTGGCTGCCAGCTGAAATTGCTAGGAGCCAACAGATTCGGAAGCCATAGACCACCATCTTGGATGTGCTTTTGGGATCTCACAGATACCCAATTAGCAACAAAGGACAAAGCAGGACAGATTTTGCTTTGCTGAGCCCACATCATGTAATGAGGAAGAGCTATGCTCACAGTGCCAGTGGTAGATAAGGAGGTGGCTGAGCTGTAGCTTGGCCAAAAGTGAGATAATCACAACCCAGCATGGGGAACATGAGAACAAGGACCAGCTGTGAAAGTGGGTGCCCAGGGAAAGCAAGGGCTACTTACAACGTTTTCTCCAAAAGCATATTACATTTCCAAGTAAGGAAGTGTGACTTATTGCACATCATAAATAATAAATGAGAATTAGAGAGACCACACGTTAATCTTTGAAACTATCTAGTGTTAAATTGGAAATACACTCAAGAAATGTAGCCAAAGATAGAATCTATGCCACATACTTTGTACATTATTTCTTATTTAAAGAATTTTAGCTCTTAACATTTATTTATTTTATTTTTTAAAGATTTATTTATTTATTTGAAAGGCAGAGTTACAGAGAGGCAAAGGCAGAGAGAGAGAGAGAGAGAGAGAGAGAGATCTTCCATCTGCTGGTTCACTCCCCAGATGGCCACAGCGGCCGGAGCTATACTGATCTGAAGCCAGGAGTCAGAAGCTTTTTCTGGGTCTCCCATGCAGGTGCAGGGGCCCAGGACTTGGGCCATCTTCCACTGCTTTCCCAGGTCATAGCAGAGAGCTAGATTGGGAATGAGGCAGCTGGGGTGTAACTGGTGCCCATATGGGGTGCCAACACTGCAGGTGGTGGCTTTACCCACTACACCACAGTGCCAGCCCCTTTGCACATTGTTTCAACAAATCTTCAATATGTCTGTACTGTGTGCCAGAAACTGTTCTACGGAACCAATTGTGGTGAACAAAAATCAGTTGATTTCTCCCCTCATGGAGCTTACAATGTAGTTTGAGAAGAAACTATTAGTCAAATAACAAGACCAGTGCGTGTAACACTGCAGTTGTGGTGAGCAGTGTGAATTAAGGTGCATATAGCCCTGAAGTCATAGGAGGATTTAACCACTTACCTACCTATCTACCTAACTATACATACGTATATTTTCAATATATACATATATGTGTGTTATATGTGCATATAGTCTCCCACCTCAGTTTATTATGATCAATGTTTTTTTTACTAAAAATTCTGTGCTTTGGGTTGCTATTGTGGTGTAGTGGGTGAAGCTGCCACCTGAAGTGCCAGAATCCCATAAAGGCACTGGTTTGAGTCCCGGCTGCTCCACTTCCAATCCAGCTCTCTGTTAATGGCCTGGGAAAGCAGTGGAAGATGGCCCAATTACTTGGGTTCCTGAACTCATGTGGGAGACTTGGAAGAAGTTTCCAGCTCCTGGCTTCCATCTAGCTCAGCCCCAGCCGTTGTGGTCATTTGGGGAGTAAACCAGCAGATGGAAGAGCTCTCTTTCTCTGTCTGTCTGTCTCTCCCTCTCTCTTTGTAACTCTGCCTTTCAAGTGAATAAAATAAATCTTTTAAAAAAAATTCTGTGATTTGAAGCATACTCCTTCCTCTACCAAAACTTTAATTCTCACTTGCCTACTACTAATATTAAAAATTCCAGAAATGTTCTCATGTTCTCCAAGTTTGTATTACCAACTGACAACAAGTGGTTCTGAACATATTAGAAGCCCTTGTGTATTTGTTTCAACTTTTCTAGTGTAGTTTAGAAGGAAGAGCTTTGAACGTGATAACAGGGGACTTGCAATCAAACCCAACACTGCCACTTACTAGGTACCGTGGGCAGCAGACTCTCAACACTCCATGTTGTCATCTGTACAATGGACTAAGAAGACCTTCCTCCCACATGGTAGTGGCAATTAAATGCAAAAAGTTATCAGCAATCAAGGCTTCTTCCAGACAAACAAAACAACAGAGTTTCATTCTATTCCAAGATTAGACACAAGGCAAAAATGGCTTGGAGTCGCACTCATCCTTGAAGATCCTGTCGAAACTGTCAGCACGGTGGCTCGCATACTGGATCCTGGGGAGCCCAGCACCGCCAGCTACTCTTCCAGAGTCAGAGCTGATGGCTGTTGCTTCTGCTGAATGCCAGGTTAACGACTGGATTTCTTTTCGTGACTGTGTTGCGGGAAGTACTTCTCTTTAATACTCAATGTTGCATGATGCTCATCTCAGAGACCGCAGCAGACTCAGGTTTCCCGTGTCAATGCTCACTGTAGAATGAAGCTCATTGACCGCGAGGGTGAGGGGCATAAGCTGCTAAAATCAGGAAAGCTCCGTCTCTAGGACCCTCCACCTGCCAAATAAATTGCTGAGTCATCAGTCCCTTCTCTGGCTCTAGGAAACCTTGGTTGTGTAACCACTGCCAGGTTTCTCTCCCACCCCACCGGACTGCTCTCGGGATGACCGTTTCTGCCCAGCTGCTCTGAACTTCCTACATAATTTCTGCTTTGGAAAACCCATCTATGTCTGCTCAGTGCTTCCTTCAGATGAGACCCAGTGATTAAGAGAATGGAGAAGAAAGAAAGAGGAAGAAAAGTAAGCCCTTTGTCCATCCCTAGCAAGGACTTCACAAAACTGTCTGGTTCCTTAGCTCCATTCACAGGCTGTAGCTATGCAGAATCACAGGTGTTCACCCATCAGTGATGTCTTGTCCTGGAAATGCAGCATTGATAACCGTCTGAGTGTGTAAACTCCACTCCCGCTCATCCTTGGGCATGCTTCACTTTCCTCCATTTTAATGTCTAGAAGGTTAAGATGTGGCCATTTCTTATCAACAGTTGATGGGCCTTGGTCTAGGATATTATGGTCTGATGTTCACGTTTAGTCATTAGTAGACTGCATAAGTTAATGATGATAATTGCTACCTTTAATTAACACCTCTGGTATGCCAGGCGCTGTTGAATATTCTGCTTACATTTCCCCATTCAGGTCTCACAACAACTATGGGATGAGTATTGTTTTTATGGTTTCAGTTTGCTTGGCTAAGGAAAATTTTTAACTTGCCCCATAACCATAGAGTTAGTAGGAGGTAGAGCTGATACTAGATACACTGCCTTTTTTTTTTTTTTTAAAGGCAGAGTAATGGAGAAAAAGGGAAAGATTGGAGAGTGGAAGAGATCTTCCATCTACTGGTTCACTCTCCAAAGGGCCACAGTAGCCGGGGCTGGGCCAGGCTGAAGCCAGGAGCCTGGGAACTCTATATGGGTCTCCCATGTAGGTGACAGGGACTCAGGTTCTTGGGGCACAGCCAGTGTTTTCTCAGGTGTATTGTTAGGGATCTGGATCAGAAGTGGAACAGCTGGGACTCAAACTGGTGCTCCACTATGGGATGTTGGCATTACAAATGGTGGCTTAACTCACCGGACCACAACACTGGCCCCAGATACACTTTTTTTTTTTTTTTACAGAGTGGACAGTGAGAGAGAGAGACAGAGAGAAAGATCTTCCTTTGCTGTTGGTTCACCCTCCAATGGCCGCCGCGACCGGCGAGCTGCGGCCGGCGCACCGCGCTGATCCGATGGCAGGAGCCAGGTGCTTCTCCTGGTCTCCCATGGGGTGCAGGGCCCAGGCACTTGGGCCATCCTCCACTGCACTCCCGGGCCACAGCAGAGAGCTGGCCTGGAAGAGGGGCAACCGGGACAGAATCTGGTGCCCCGACCGGGACTAGAACCCGGTGTGCCGGCACCACAAGGCAGAGGATTAGCCTAGTGAGCCACGGCGCTGGCCAAATACACTGTTTTTAACCCAGGGTTATTCAGCCGGACTGCAGCTGGACTCTTGGTCGATGCAGGCCATCAGTGACATCTACAGAGTCACATAAAACAGATTCCCGGCTCCCCAGCGGGACAGAGCCTTCACTTCAGAGTAAAGTTGGAGTCTGCATCGGTATGAAGCCTCCTGCTAGCTCTACCAGTAAGAGCCATGGGTTTGAATCCCGCTTTCCTTATCTATTCAGCAGGAAGTCAGAGTGTCCGGGGACATATCACACACTTGGCACTGAGTGGGAGCTTTCCTGGGTGCTGGAACGTTAAATAGAAGGCTGGGTGCACCTGACACGTAACCAGAAACGTTGATACTTCTCATGGACTTCACCAGTTGCAATGCAGTTTTGTTCTTAAATGTGTGCCTTGGGACTTTAGATGTCTGTGCGTCTTCCTGAATGTTGAGTGAATTGATATTGATGAGTTGGATCAGTACAACAAAAGAAGGGAAATTGCTGTCCAGCTTACACGTGTGTGAGAAAGAATGCTAGGTCTCTTTCTCTCCAAACTTTAATTAAGTTCAAGTGATAGAGAAAAAGTGTCCACACTTTTTCTATTGGATGGGCTGCCCAGAAACACTTTCACATTTTATAAGTGTATTTTAAATATGAATCACAATGTCATATATGATTTCACTGACCAAATGATAAACATCCAAAGTAAAACTAGCAGTGTCTCCTTTCCATCTATTCTGCTAAGTTGACAATCTGCTGTTAGGTTTTCCTGTTTTCCCTTTTTACTGGGACAGTGAGTTGCACAAACAAAACGATGTGTCTCTTGTTCTTTCTCCCCTCATCAAGTGTTGCTTATGCTGCCTTCCTAGGGCTTGTCTTCTCCCCACCTCCTCCCCTGATTTTCTTTCTTTTTTTTTAAAAAAAATTGTTTATTTATTTGAAAGTCATAGTTACACACAGAGAGAAGGAGAGGCAGAGAGAGAGAGAGAGAGAGGTCTTCCATCTGCTGGTTCACTCCCCAATTGGCTGCAATGGCTGGAGCTGTGCCGATCTGAAGCCAGGAGCCAGGAGCTTCTTCCAGGTCTCCCATGTGGGTGCAGGGACTCAAGGACTTGGGCCAGATCCTCTACTGCCTTCCCAGGCCATAGCAGAGAGCTGGATTGGAAGAGGAGCAGCCAAGATTTGGACCAGTGCCCACATGGGATGCGGGCACCACAGGTGGCGGCTCCACCCCTACACCACAGGGCTGGCCCCCTGATTTTCTATTACACCTCACTGTACAGTTTTGGACATACTGTATTTCTTCTTCCCTGGGTGAGGTGGTTGAGTTAGGGTTGGGAACCCTGAGCCCAGGTAGAGAAATGAATCTGTTCTGTGGGATTTTGAGGCATCCTTTGGATGGATGGATCTTGTGTATGTGGAGTCTGGGACTTTCAGTTGTGATTTTCTATCACATGAGCCTCAAAGAAAGGTAGATTGCAGTGAGCAAAAGAGTAGCACCGCTGTTCCAAAGAGACAGGGGAGAGAGAGAGGCCATATTTGGGGTTATTCTCAAGGTTTCACTAGAGTTCCAAGGCTCAGCTCTGCTCTTGGACTCTGGAGGACATAGTCCTTCCAATAAATCCCTTTTGTGCTTTTTAGGCTTCCATTCTTAGGAAGTAAGTATTTGAAGCCCCCTCAAATTTCTGAAAGCATATTACTTTTCCTATCACATATACATCACTATATATATATATTATATATATATTATATATATATAATTTCCCCTATGAGAAATAAGAACAATGGTAAGTTACTTTATTTGGTATACTTATTTTTATTAACTTATATTTGTGTACCTACTCTTTGCTAAATTCTATGCTCCTAAAAAGTCAACAGACAATGGAAAATATAAAAATCATCACATTTTAAAAATTGTGATAGATATAAGGACTGTGGCAAACACAAGGTATTATGGGAAGGCCCATGAAGGGAGTCAAAATCTGCCCAGAACCCTGATGGGAAAGTCTTGTTGCCTGCTGATGTCTCAGACGTGCACCTTGTGGGCCAAGAAGATGCAGAGGAACTGCTTCAGTTTTTCATTTCTAAAGCCAATTAAAATGTTAAAGAATGATCCATCAAGTTTTCCCCACAATACCATCTTTATATAAAGCACATCTGTCATTTGGCTTCTCCACAAGGAGGCCAGGCAGGTTCACTCAGCTCTGGAACTTTCCAGAACTCACATGTTTGCTGATCACAAAGAGTTCTTCAGCGATTTACTCTCCCTTGAAGAACACTTTCCTGGGTTGGTGACTTTCACTATAGTGACTAAAGGGCAATCAGACCGCTGCGCGGACCCCTGTCTGGGTCTGACGTGAGCCTCAATGCCCACCTTCTGCAGCTGACCCGTGGCTGCCTCTGCTTCGTGATACCCACAGTCATGTTTCACTCAGCCCTGCTGAGGCCCTCAGAGCTGAGACACTTTCTTCGGACACAAAACGTTACTCATGACCCTTGCTGTCTTGGGCTTCCTCGAAGCTTGCTTTGGGATGGTTGGCTGAGCAGTCACTGAATTCACTGACCACAGGAATAGCTTCTCTATGCAGGATCAGTTCTGATTCCAATTTCCTGGAAAGTTTAACCCAACTGCAGAAAAGTGAAGTCATATCTAAAGGTCTAGTAAAAAAGAAGTATCTTGTGGATCAAATGCATCATAGGAATCAGAAAAGGAAACATGTAGTTCGCGTCTGGGTACACATTTTCAATTGGAAAAAGGAAAAAAAAGAAGCAGATTTGTGTTAGAGCTGAAGAGAAGCTTGGACTTGATCCTGGTTGTTTTCTCTTGGGGAGTAGGTATGGCCCCTTCTCCAAAATGCCAGGAAAACCTTTCCCAGAGGCAGGAATTTGGGTGTGTTAATGTCTTTTGTCAGGAAATACATGGCCTTTCATGGTAGAAATTTCTGGAACATTCTTCTAAGGAGGATTCTGGAAGGCAAGGAACAGTGGTTTAGTAAAACTAGCTCCAGCAGCATGGGCTTTACTGAAAGCGCAGCAGAGAATCTCCAGAAACCTCACATGCAAGAGGGTTGATGGGTTCCTGAGAGCAGGAACTGGGAAGTGGAGATTTGCCCTTTCCCCTCCCTTCCTCTGAAGTGCTGAGTCCCCAGGATCGGCTTCTGCCTCCATTGTGGTTGGTCCTCCATTCCTCCATCATACTCTTCCTAACTGGCTGTGCCAGCTGGGAAACTGTAGACCTCACTTCTGTAGCACTAGTGCTTCCTGGAAGCCACCTGGTGTCTGATTCTGATCCGAGAGAGGAGAGAGGGAGAGAGGGAGAGAGAGAGAGAGAGAGAGAGAGAGAGAGAGAGAATAGGGCCGCCCCAACTCATCTGGCCAAGCTGGGCCATACAAGTCTTGGACTTCTGGTATCACATGGATTGACAGTTCTAGAACCTGGAGCTGTCCCTGTTCAATCAACTGTAGTGGGAAAGAGGGCTGTGGGATTGACAGTGCGAAATAGCTTCTCTTAGCTGGAGTCCATGGAAAATGTCGTGTTCCACATCTTCAGATTCCTCAACTAGCAGAAAATCTTTTAGTAAGGAACCAAGACTTTCATCCCAAGTTACCCAAGAGGATTTGAATTTAAATTTTACGGAGAGACCCATTTAAACCAGTTTATATTATAAGGTGAATGACTGATAAATAGTAATTCATCTGGAAGCATCCAACCATTCCTCCATCAATTACTGAATTCTTAATATGGTCATGCCACTAGATTTTGGGGGCTACAAATGAATACTTTTGGTGAGGGAAAGAGGAGAAAGGGAAGAAATGTCTTTAAGTCTGAGTTATTGCAGGAAGCAAGTGCCTGGAGAAGAAAAAGATTCAGAGAGAATCTGTCAGGGTGGTGGGGAAGACAGCCAGTTGCCTAGTTAACAGTTTTGTAGCCAACAGAGCTCTTTTCTCAAACTCCTTCTGGCTGGAAATCAAACATCCCAAGTTCATGCTACCAAATAGCTGTTCTGCACAAGGAAGCAAGAGAGCTCTTAATCCTACAGGAGAAAAGGAGCAGTCAAGTTGGAGTGAACACCTGCTCTCAGAAGACAGCGGGAATGAGAGAGCACTGCAGATGTTACCAGGCACACGGTGGTCAGGGCTGGGGGGGAATCAGAGCAGAGAGGGTTCTGGGGCAAAGCTGTGTGGCTCAGGGCAGCAGCTGGCACCAGCTCACTCGCTTTGGTTGTAGCCTAGGTGGATGAGTGACAAAGAGCCTGAGGCCAGTCCCTGCCAGCCGGAGCAGGTGGTGGCTCCCCTACAGCAGAACCTGCAGGCCGCTATGGTGTCGAGAATCCACTTTTTATTTGCACGATTATGCAGAGGCGTGTGCGGGGGAGGATGATCCAACAGCAGGGGCACCTCTACTGCGGACAACTGGACTCTCAGGACGGGGTTTAAGGCTCAGCACTGGGCCCTCTTGAAAGGACCGACCGGGCGACCAGAGCGTAGCTGCGGCTCTGGCTTCTGTCCTGGAAAGGCTAATGAGGAAGGCCTCTTGGGGTGGGGTGGGGGGTCGTCATTCATGCAAGGCCATCGCTCAACAAACATCTCTCCAGTCAAGATTCTGTCCCCACGGCTCCAGCAGCTGCGAGCGGCTAGTGGGACGCGCTCTTTCGATTTAGGACATGGCGCCTGCCCTCTGACAACTGGAAGGAACTTGGGACCGGAGGAGCCAGCGTCGCAGAACTGGGAAGCAGACAGGGGTCGTTAGTTAGCCAGCGGCGCCCTCTCGCTCAGGGCTAGTGACTTGGCCAAGTTCGCGCCTCTGGTCACAGAGAGAAGCCCCCGCCCCTCCCCGGGCTGTGGAAGAGGAAGGCACCTCGCCAATCAGAGGCCGAGATGGCAGGGGGACTGGCACGGTCAGGGATGGGGGCGCATCCTCAGGGGAGAGGGGGCCGGGTTTTCTGGGGGCGGGATTGGTGTTGTTATAGGAGTCCGGTTTCAGAGAATCCGTCCTGGAAGAGTTAACTCTCTCCCACTCTTGCCCTGGCCTTGCTTGGGGCGGATTCGCCCGGGAGTGGGAGGGCGCGCCCCTGCGGCTTCGGAGGCGCATCCTCCCGGAGCGGAAGGCAGGAATCAGGCACCTCCTCCCGGCCGCCCCCGCGGACTCTGGCGCTCTCCAGGCCGGCGGGCTCTGTGGGACTTGCAACACTCCAGGCGCTGTCGGAACGCCCGCAGGTCCCCCGGTTGCCAGCAGCGCACCGCGCGCATCCGCTGCGGCGCATCCATCTCTGCAACTCCGGCTGGCGGCGCCGCGCTCCGCTCCGAGGTTGCTCGGCTGCGAGTCCCGCGCTGGGGAGGGGCAAGGGAAGGCGCTGCCCGCTTCGCGGGCCTGGACCGGGGAGGGGGCGAGCAGGCGCCGAGCTGGAGCGAGCGCAGGGCTGTGGGCGCCGCTCTCTGGCCGCACTCTCTCCGTGCCGCGCGCTCTCTGGCGGCTGGGTGGCCGCGGACCTCACCACCCAGCAGTGCTGCGCGCCCCACTTGCTCCGGGGTGCCTTAAACGCCAGGCAGGAGCGTCTCAGCTGGGGTCACCAGACGCCTTCTCCCTTTTTTCCCCGGAGTCCCGCGGGTTGAGCAGTAAGCCAAGCCTAGCTGGACGCTGCGCTCCAATAAACAGCGCGCGTGTCCGGCTCGTCGCTCTGCCGGCAGCGCCGGGAGAGGGAAAGTTGTGCGAAGGGGCCTGGGGCGTGCGGCCAGGCAGGGGTGGGGTGGGGGTGGGGGCGGCGGCAGAGCCGCCCTGCGCACTGCGCCCTGCGCCCTGCGCCCTGGAACTGATCCCTCGAATTTGTACTTTGGCTGCTGGCGACCTGGATGGCCGCTGCCTACCTGCCCGCGTGCGAGTGACACCAGGCTTTGGGGGAAATTTCTGACCACGCGAAAGCGGAAATCGCTGGCGTCCTGGCCATGAACACAGCCTCGCGTTCTTCTCCGTCCCGGGAACACCTTCGGCCTCTGTGATTCTGCCCCGCCGCAAGCCGGACGCGACCAGGAGCGCCACCCGCACCGCTCGGCACCCGCCACCCTCGCGGCTTCTCCTGGAGTCCGCTCTGTGTCTCCCGCTCCGTGGTTCGCCTGGGGTGGGGGGTGCCTGGCTCTGGGGGTGAGGATGCTGTGTTTTCTCCCCTGAGGTGTGAAGGTGAGGGCTTGGTGACTTTCAGGTGTCTAGGAACCAGGGCGGGGGCAGGGGCTCCAGGCAGCGCTGCTTCTTGGGCGGAGGAGGGTAGGGTAGGGGGTTCTGCATGAGCTCCTTAAAGGACAAAGGTAACAGAGCCGGCGAGAGAGCTCGAGCGGAGACTTTGACTTCAGACCGCGGCATCGGTGGAAGTGCGCGCGCCCCCGCCGCCGCCGCGGCCGTTCCTACAGCGCTGTCCATCTAGCCGCCGGCGTCTTCCCGATCTGAGATCTCCGGGAAGGAGGCGGCGCGGGCTAGCAGAGGCGCCAGCCGGCTGCCGCTGCCCGGCGGCCACCATGGGCTCCGCGCGCCGGGCGCTGTCCGTGGTGCCGGCCGTGCTGCTGGTGCTCGCGCTGCCTGGGCTGCCGGTCTGGGCGCAGAACGACACGGAGCCCATCGTGCTGGAGGGCAAATGTCTGGTGGTGTGCGACTCGAACCCGGCCACGGACGCCAAGGGCTCTTCCTCGTCCCCTCTGGGGATATCGGTCCGCGCGGCCAACTCCAAGGTCGCCTTTTCTGCGGTGCGGAGCACCAACCACGAGCCGTCCGAGATGAGCAACAAGACGCGCATCATTTACTTCGATCAGGTCAGACCCGGAGGGACGCGGGGCTCCGAGGGGGTGGGCGGCGTCCGGGCACCTCGGGTCGGGGCTGCCTGCTGGGCTAAGCCGCTCTAGTCGCCGCCCCGGGGACTCATTTGGTCACCGGCTTCCCCAACAGGTCTGCGTCTGGAACTTTGCCCCCTAAACCGGGGCCCCTCTAAAGGAGAATGCTGGCTGGGGCGGTGGGCGAGAGGCTCGGCGAGCAGAGGCGGGCAGTGGGAGCTCAGGACAAGTTTAGCAGCAACAGGTCAGCAGGTGCTTCAGGGACCTGGGACCCTGGTCCCTGGACTTGGCAGTCTCTTGGCAGGAGCGCTGCCTCCCGCGGAACCGAGGTCGCGGGATGAACGTTTGCGCCGTGGTCCCGGGTGGAGGAGCGCCTCCACCGAGACAGCTCTGGCTCCACTCTGTAGAGATCCGGCAGGTGGCCCAGAGGGCGTCGGCCCGGGACCGGCCTCCCGGGGCTGCCTGCAGGTAGAGAGAGAGGAACCCTTCTCTGGGACTTGGAGAAAAGTTGCCGGGAGGAGGCGAAAATGAATTGGGCAACCGCGCTGCGCTCCCGTAGGGAAACGCCGGGGAGCTGGTTCTTCCGTGCTGGGCGCCTGTCTTTTCAGAGAATTGCAAACTGCTGGGGAGAGCAAGACTTTGAGGCTGAGGGTAGGGGATGGGAGGAGGAACTGCCGAAAGCGACTTGTTGGTGCTCGGTGGTCTGGTGTATGGGGAACCCCAGGATACCAGCAGTAGCTTCAGCGAGGAGTCTGAAGGGAGGAAACGGACTTTGGAGTTTTAATTTCAAACCCAGCAGCGCCCAGCGCCTTTGAAATTCCAAAGTCACAGTTCACCACAGTCTGCAGAACCACCGTGTGCGGGAGCACGGGGTGGGTGGCGGTGCAGCGTGTGCCGGGAAGGCGGGAGGGGACATTTGTGTTGCACACTTAATTTTTCCTAAGCAATGCCCTCTCCAGTTGGCCGCAGAGACTCTCTCTCTCTCTCTCTCTCTCTCTCTCTCTCTCTCTCTCTCTCTCGGCTTACTCTTGAATAGCCATAATTTTAAAAGAATTAAGTAATCCCGTGTGGGTTTTGGTGCAGTGTTTTCCATGTTGATGGAAATAAAGTCGAGCACCCCCCCGGGGCTGTGTTTCAAGGCATTCATTAAAGGCTGAAGTAGCGTAGCCCTCACAGGAGCCTCAGCACCAGGCGATTCTTACAGTGACCTTTCTGTCAATTAGGAAAGGAGAAGGATTCCTTCTTTTGCACGGAGAGCCGTGCCTCTCAGAGACAACAAGACACATTTGGTTATCAATGCAGATGTGCCTGGATGCGCCCGCTACAGTGGCGAGTCACAGCTTTATGTGTAGCCAACACTAATCCTCCATTTCCATGATGGCTAATGAATTATGGGTACATGTCTGTGAATCAGAAAGTCCCCGCTGAGCACCTCGGATAATTTTAAATGTGCTTTGGGAAAAAGAATCCTTGGGGAAGCCTCTGCTGGGGATTATGGGCCGCTGGTGACTTGTTGAAAGGCCGTCCGTCATCAGGTCAGGGGAGAGGGCTCCCATGTGTGCAGGGAAGAAGGTGGACTCAGAATAAAACCTCACATGCACGTGCGTTTTAAAGCAGGTGTGAGCCTGGCACACCTACCTGGCTGTCTCCACATTCTGACGCACTCAGAGGTGGTAGTATGATTTTATGAAATTACCTAGGAGCTTTGGAAACGTATTGCTAGTGAAAAAGAAGACAGTGTTTCAAAGACAACGTAACAGCCAAGGACACGTGGGGAATACATCATTATAGGGCCATTGGATTTTTCTGGATGCCATTTACAGGTGTATTTCTTGGAAAGTAAGGAAAGGAATGCTAGTTATTTTATTCCCTCCCACACACTCTCTTCTTCTTATAAGAAAGAACTTACTTATGTGACTTTGCAAATTTAGCCCAAGAGGTCACTTATTGAGATTCATAGTTAATTTCATCACCAGGAGAACCGTGCTGAACATCTTGGAATACAAAATGCGTTGTTGTTATTTATTTATTTGAAGCGATGCCTGATTTCACTTTTCCTTTTGACCTTTGAATAAAGAGCAGATGATTGATAGGAGGATGATGGATAGTGCTGGAGTGAACCACAAAAGGCCACCCATTTCAAGGCCCCATCTTTATTTATACTCTATTCCATGGCAGCCAGGAGGGCTGATTCTTTGCCAAAAATACTGTGATCAAGGTGTGGATGGCACAGGAATGAAAAAAAGTGGCCATGGATCTTGGAAGAGGCTTGGCAGGGGCTCAGGGCAGGACCAGGCAGCTGTATCACTTTGTACCCCAACTGTCCCATGTCATGGCTTATGTCCCAAGGTAGAGGGGGTCACCTATGCTCTGGGTGATATGTCCAGGGATGGCTGCAGAGAGCCTGCAGGTGCGGATTGGCTGGCTGGAGACGTCACCTTAGGACATGGGAAGCCTTGCGCACGGTGGGAATGCAAATACTTGGCAGATGCCTTTTTGTCTGACTCTCAAGGCAAAGCTAATATTTATAAGCCTTTAACACATCACCTAGATGTGCCTAGAGCCACTGAGTCCTGCTGGGAGTTGAAGTATGAATACAAAGCAGTTACTTTATCTTCCCTATAATTTTTAAAAGACAGAAGAATCTTCCAGTATAAAAGTTCACTTTCCAAGTCATTTAAGAGGAAAGAAATAGAACTAAATGTCTTATTCTCTATGGTTTCTTAGTTATTAAGTTAGAAAGAAAGTACAAAGAGGGATAGAAAGAAGGAAGAGAGGGAGAGAAGGAAGAAAGACACTTTGCTTACAGAAGAGAGCATTGTAATAATTTATGGCAATTTATTATTTTTATTTGTAGATCCTAGTTAATGTGGGTAATTTTTTCACACTGGAGTCTGTCTTTGTAGCACCAAGGAAAGGAATCTACAGTTTCAGCTTTCACGTGATTAAAGTCTACCAGAGTCAGACAATTCAGGTATGTATCCTACCCCTTGAACAAACGTGTTTACCTTTGGTGGTTGCGTATTTAAGAATTTATCCAAAGATGTGTTTTCATTGTGAAAATAAACAGCCATCTTTGTGGTTTATTTTGAAAACATTTAACTTCCAATTTTCTTCTTTATAACATCCATTAAGGCATGTAACAAAAAAGCATGTAGAAAAATAAACTATTGAAGCTGTTACCTTAATAACTACCTACATTTAGAAAGTATAACTCGGTAGATATTTAGGCACAAAAACCTCTTCATAAGATCTTGATTTCATTTAATCCATGGGCAGAAATCATTTGAATTTGTAAGATTAAAAACCCACAAGACCAGTAGAGCTTTCCTAGTGCATACTAACTAAGTAAAACAAATTTGTTATTTAAAAAATCATGAGACACAGTTAAGCATTAAGAATAAGTCTATGGTAGATATTCAGCTTAGTTGCTAGGATGCCTGCATCCCATGTTGGAGTTCCTGGGTTCAAGTCCATGGTCTAGCTACTGACTTCAGCCGCTTCCTAATATGCACCCTGGGATGCAGTGGGTCATTGCCACTCACATGGGAGACCTGGGTTGAGTTCTGTACTCCTGGCTTTGTGCTCAGCCTAGACCTGACCATGCAGGAACTTGGAGAGTAAACCATCAGATAAGAGCTCTATATCTCTGTTTCTCAGATAAACAAAAAAAATTTAAAAAGAATAGATATATGAAGGAACACCTATTTGATATCTTTGCATATATATATATTTTAAAAAGTTATACTTACTTTGTTTGCAGAGCAGAGAAAATAGAGACCTCTATTTGCTGTTCGCTCCCCACCTTCCCAGGAGCTGAGAAGTCAGTTGAGGTCTCCCATGTGGTGGCAGGGGCCCACTACTTGAGCCATCACCTGCTGTGTCCTGGGGTACACATTAGCAGGAAGCTAGAATTGGGAGCGGACCCAGGGCTTGAACCCAGGCACTGTGATAAGGGCAGTGAGCATCCTGAGCGGAGTCTTCACTGCTCCCCAGATGCCCTCCCCTCAAAATACTTTTTTGTAAACAGGATGTGCTATGGTTATGCCTTAGTTTTTCTTGGTACCCTGATGCTGGAGAAGTCTTACCAACTACAATCTCAGTTTAAAATATATTTTGTGTTGCGCTTCCTAAGATAATGAGTTTGCTCTTACACTCACAGGTGGCAATGGAGCTAGTCCCTGCACACTCAGATATGCTAACAGCAAGTGATGCCCATGCCTGGCTGTGGCATTCCAAAGCAGCTTCTTCTCACCTGTTCCGTACTTCATTGTGTCTGATGTCCACCCTGCACGCTCCCCCACCACATTCCCATAGCCTAGTGAAAGCACAGATTGACCAACTTCAGATTTAACTTATTCACTACTATTTAACTTGAAAAGAGTGAATGGCTAGTGACTAGATTTACTTATATGGAAAATCGTCCAAGTCCCCCCTAAATTTTGAGATTTCTGTAGTATTTGACACAGTGTCATCAAAATTATGGTATGGAAAAAAAGTTAAAATTTTGAGTTGATTTTTTGCTAGTTATCCATCATTAAAATCATCAATTACCAGGGTGATTATACTTTTAAATATACATTTCTTCTCAGGGAAAACAGAAAAGCAAATCAAAGCATACCTATATTCCATTATCTCAAATGATTTTCAGCACTGTGCTTCTTACAAGTAGAAGGATGTTGGTAGAACTGATTGTATCCGGGTTTATGAGGCCAGTGGCCACTGGGTTTGTTTTCACTAATGGGCTGGGAGGCCACAAGCCTGCTTCATTTCTGAAATATTGCCGTTGAGTGAAGATGTAAATAAAGTACTGAGCTTAATCTGTGTGCCGAGAGGAAGCCAATTTTCACATGGCTATGTTGCCGTTCATGGATAATATTCCTTTGATGGAATTTAAGGAAATTCCAATGAGAGAAATTTAAAACAACATTATTTCAATATACATGCAAAGTCTCATCCCTCACGGTTGATTTATTCGGAAGGAAAGGGATGCCCGTTCTAAATATGCAGGCATTTCACGAGCGCTGTCATCTTACACACTCATTATTATCCCCAGTGAATGTTTTCGCTTACGAAGGAGCTTCTTGGTGATGTTTTTCTTCTCCTAGGTTAACCTAATGTTAAATGGAAAGCCAGTAATATCTGCTTTTGCTGGGGACAAGGACGTTACTCGTGAAGCTGCCACCAATGGGGTCCTCCTGTACCTAGACAAAGAGGATAAAGTCTACCTGAAGCTGGAGAAAGGTAATCTGGTTGGAGGCTGGCAGTATTCCACGTTCTCTGGCTTTCTGGTGTTCCCCCTCTAGAACGCGGTCTCTCCGTGGTGTTTGTCCTGGTGAGGGGCAGCCCACCCCTGAGTTACTGGAAGATCATTGCTTCATCCTTGGATTGATGTCTTTTTTTGGTTTCTCGTGGGTGAACATGGATTCTCTATACGGATTCTAGACCTGTCCGAACCAACACAAAGTTCCACAGATTATTTTTGTGTGTGTGTGCTTTTCAGTCTACTTGGATCGGGACTCAAAGCAGATAAACCCTGTCTATGCTTCCATGTAACAGTCAAAAGCTGCCTGCCGACTTTACTCTGAATTTAATTTCCTGGAATTCATGAATTTGTTGCTGATGTGGAATTTTTGTTTATTTAGTTATTTTTAAAAGACTGGCAAGGAAGCATTTGGAAACTTTCAAGTTTTGACTTCAACTGGTGATTAGTGTGATAACTGCCAAAGAACTGAATGCTGTGTTGATGTATTGATTACCCCTGTTTTTATTCCTTTGAGGTTACTTTGTTCTGTTCTCCGGAGGGAACTGGCAGTTTCTTGGTGACTGGCGTTGTGTTTTCTCAATGGCCTCCCTGCACATGGTTCCTTGAGATCACCAACATGGCTTCCCTTTAAAAAAAAAAAGCTTCTTAGTTGTATTTTAATTATATATGTGAAAGAGTCATATTTTCCAAATTGTATTTTCTAATAGGAAGAATAGATCATAAATCTGACAAGGAGAAAGTTGCTTACCCGAATTCTAAGCGCTCAATCCCCAAACCTCGGCAAAACGGCTCTCCTCTGTGGGAAATCTTATACTTTATTGCTCAACTTTAATTAACATGATTGATAATAACCACTTTATTAAAAACCTAAGGGATTTTTTTCCTTAGACATGATCACTTTATTAACTGGAGATGGGATACCCTTGTTTTTAATTATATCTATTTTTCAAACCTTCTGTTGTGTTTGAAGCATCATCTGGTTTTGCCTTAACTCCTTAAATTGTATATATTTATCTGTTTAGCCTTATTCAGTACAAATATCCCATATTTAAGTTTAGTGCAATATCTTATTTTGTCTTTTGTATTGGTCATAAGAGTTCATAAGATTACTTATGTCTGTTACAGAATAAAGGTTAACATATGTTAGTTGAATTGTTTTGTCCTTTTGGTTTTGGAAATATAAGCTGTACATGACTCAGCTCCTCTTCCTTCCTCTTTCCCTCACCCTTCCTTCTTTCCTCTCATTTCTTATCTTAACCTGGAGTTCAAGAAAAGCTTTCTGAATTTCCTGGTAATGTCCTCAGATTAGTTAGTATAGGAGATCTTTATTGTGTTTAATCTGTCCAAATCCAAGAGTTTTAAACTTGCCAAAAAAGAATCAGTTTAGTAAGGGAAAACTTTTCTTTCTTTTAAAAAATGTTTGTTTATGTCATTTATTTGGAAGGCAGAGTTGATAGGGGGAGGGGAAGACAGAGAGACAGAGATCTTCCATCTGCTAGTTGACTCCCCAAATGGCTGCAATTGTCAGGGCTGTGCCAGGCAGAAGCCAGAAGCCAGGCGCTTCATTCGGGTCTCCCATGTGTGTGCAGGGGCCCAAGGACTTAGGTCATCTTCCGCTGTTTTTCCAGGTGCATTAGCAGGGAGCTGGATCAGAAGTGCAGCAGTCAGGACTCAAACTGGTGCCCATATGGGATGCCAGTATTGCAGGAGATGGCTTACCCCATTATGCCACAATGCCAGCACTAAACCCTTCTTTCAAAAGGAGTTAGGAAGTTCAAAAAGATCCCTCCAGATCTCATGAGGGTGCACAGTGTATGAACGAGTGGTTATGAGTACGGAGACCAGTATTTTCAAACTGTAGACTTTGGGGAAAAGTCCTGCCCTTTTCTCAACACTGAAGACAAACAGAAGGTCTCAGTCTTCCTTTTAGGAGGAGCTGTTACTACACACGTCTTATTTAGAGACTTGGCTCCATTTCCAGCTCTGTGTTCAGCTGAAACAACATTGGGAGGTACCCTTTTGTAGTCATTTGCAGTGAGGTGGGTGTTCCAGGTAGATACTTGAAGGCAGCATTCCCAGGTCAGGTGTGAGTAATCACAATGATAAGTACTCCTTCAGCACCAGGGAGAGTTACCTGGAGATGTGGGCAATGGATCCTCAATGCAAACTGCTCCCTGTCAGCTAGAGTACGTTGTGATTTTGCACTGTAAAAAAGATGGCATTGCGCCGGCGCCGCGGCTCACTAGGCTAATCCTCCACCTTGCGGCGCTGGCACACCGGGTTCTAGTCCCGGTTGGGGCGCCGGATTCTGTCCCAGTTGCCCCTCTTCCAGGCCAGCTCTCTGCTGTGGCCAGGGAGTGCAGTGGAGGATGGCCCAGGTGCTTGGGCCCTGCACCCCATGGGAGACCAGGAAAAGCACCTGGCTCCTGGCGCCTGCCATCGGATCAGCGCGGTGCGCTGGCCGCAGCGCGCCGGCCGCGGCGGCCATTGGAGGGTGAACCAACGGCAAAGGAAGACCTTTCTCTCTGTCTCTCTCTCTCACTGTCCACTCTGCCTGTCAAAAAAAAAAAAAAAAGATGGCATTGCACAGGGAAACTGTCAAGGCACCTTCATCTAAGTATGTGTAGGGTCCTCTGCAAATGGGCATGCTCCAACATGGGCTTCCCCTTGGTTCTCTGTGTTCAGACTTGGTGTCTACACGTTGCAGTCGAGTGAATTCTACTTGGATGAATGTACTGCTAAGCTCTTGTTTTCACTGAATGGCCCAAGAGTACTGGACCTGCCAGTGGCACCTATGATGGGATCCAGAAAGGTGATTAACAAATGGATCCATGTAAAAATGTCTTTTATAAACATGCTGTGGCCATCCTTTGGGGCTTGCCCTTATTTTTCTTGGTTCTTCAAAACATCAAAGAACATTGGCAAAGCGCTTAGATTTAATTCCTAAGCTCTAGTTTTGGAATGCAAAAGTCTATTTAAAATAGTCTCAAAGGCACTGAGATTGTGGTTATCAAAAATGGGAGGGATCTGCAACCCTGTATTCGTGTGGAGATGAGGTTAGAACAGGAGCCTTCAGTACTCCTGAACTAGGTTGAGGGAATTAAGAACTACCCAAACACAGTGGCCAGAAAGGTAAGACTGGAGCGAGAACAAGCCAGAGGATAGAAGATTCGGCCAGAGAGCATGGATTTGCAGCAGCTGCAGGGCGCAATTCCACAGTGTTCATTTGCTAACTCTGTGACCTTGGGCAGGTCTTGTCACCTCTCTGGGCTTTCACTATATTGTTTATAAACAAGAAATAGTCAACCGTAGGGACTCAGAAGGCGTGAACTGCCTGGAACACAGTAGGAGCTCAACCAAGGGCACTATGGTGACTGCAATTTCCAGTCCTATCATGGGCAAAGCAGCAAGTAGGACTGTGGGAGGATGTTAGGATTGGCAGGAGGAAGTGAAGAAAATTGAGTCTGAGTGGGTTAGGTTGATGAGCAGGATGCAGTATTGTCAGAAGTATTTCTAGAAATGGAGCCAGATGCTCTCCTCGTATTCGATGACTTGAAAATAGTTTTCAGAAATTGCCAGGTTCACAAAAATGCAAATTGAACATGGTATTTGCATCAGCCCTGTCTACATTCATCAACGCCAACACCTCTTCCTAGCATGGCCCCTATCTCTTTTGACTGTTCCTTGATCTATTGATCACCAAATGCAAGCAATTGTCTGTAGCAAGCAGTTTCTTTCTGAGACAAGTCCACAAAAACCAAACAGAAGGGAACAAAGAGCTTGCACACGGCATCTCCCTGCTGCTGATTGCTCTTCAGGGGCTCCCCATGATCCCAGATTCAGGCAGACCTTGTTTATCTACTTACATTTTTGTTTTTATTTCTTTATACTTTGGTTTGGGGTTGTTTCCCCCTTTCTGAGTTTTGACAACTGGGATAGCTTCATGCTTTCAGTTGCCTTCACTTTTTTTTTTAAAGCAAGTTACTGCTTTCAATCTTGAAATACATATTGTTAATTAACATAGATTAAATTATGCTTCTTGTGTGTCAGATGCTTTGCAAGTACTGAGTTTATAGAAGCGATGACATCTCTCGTATCTCCCTGACCATCAGGTGGAACTGGGGTCTTCTTCCCAAGCAGCAGGGGAGACTCGGAAGTGTGGTCCTGCTGTACCTTCCCATGGAGGCTGCTGGACTTGTGTTCCTCCACCTGTGCCACCTAAACCCTGTCCCTGGACGGGAACAGCCCAGTGGGTGCCGCAGGGTCCTCAAATTGATGGACCGAATGACCAAGAGAAGTGACAAAAACAGAGAGGTGAAGGCTTATGACAGCCGTTCACGGTCAGAGCTGTGGAGTGGACAAAGCCGAACCTCAGACGTCAATCATTTCCCTTGGTAGAGAGGGGTTAAGATTTAAGAAGTTGGCTTCTAAACTGGTTAGTTACTGCCCCTCCTCTGATGTCAGCCTGGCTTTAATGTGGATTTCAAATATCTGAGTCAAAAAATGATTTTTTTTTTTTTGCTGCCTCTGAGTTTTCTGGCTGAAAACGACTTTCTGAATTTGACCCTGAATTCTCTCTTGTCAGCGTCACCAACTGATGTGCTTAGGAACTACCTGCAGGTCTCAGGCCGGACCCAGCTCCCAGGTGACGTCCATGTTGCTGACCTGGGGTCCCTGCGTTCCACAGTGAGGACTTGCAGCACACTTTCTCAAAGTCTTGTTGCTCTTGTGTGGTCTGCGGAGGGCTTGTTAGAAACCCACGTGGAGTCTGGACTCACCCCATACCTATGGGTTCAGATTCCCTGCTCCTCACACCCTCATGATTCTTATGTACCATAAAGTATATGAAGCTCTCTGTTTAGGTAAAACCCAAAACGTACCTGCATCAGAATCACCTGCCCTGGGCTTCGGGCAGCTGCACTGTAACATAGTCCCTGGTGTTCCCCAAACCCACACAGGTGCAGGGCATTTTCCTTGGCTGACCCAGGAACACCTGTGCTCCTGTTTGCTTCCCTTGGTTAGACTCAGCCAGCGGGGGGCAGTTTGCTCCAGGCTTCAATGGTTGGGGGTAAGCACGACACTGCCCTTCTGTGAGGGACAGGCTCAAGGGGGTCTGGCCAGTGTTCGAAGAGGCAGGACTGCAGGAAGACATGGCCAGAGAAAAGGTGTGGGAGACCCGCGCGCAACAATGCAGGTAAGTCACCATGGAAAAGTGGCTGTGCCGCGAAGAAAGAAAACCCCTAGGGAGGTTCCTATTTGTTCTGGACAGGAGACGCGGTTCCATCTTGCTTTTCTTTGTATCAGAGGCACTCCTCCTCCAGGGGCTCAGTGCCTCCTTCTAAGTGCACTTGGCATTTGACTTCACATGACACTGCTCAGCTGTGCGTGTGTGTGTGCACACGTGCGTGTGTATGACAGGTCGTGTTTGGAAGGGTTAATAGTGCCATGAGCAGTCTCCAGGTGGCCAGTTTGTATGTTTAGAATTCGTGCAAAGGCAGAAATTTTCCTTAAATTTTTTAAAGTCCAACTGGTGATATTTCCAGTGAAAAAAGACACTGTCACAGGTACAGAGCTAAGAAGTCTGTATTTCCTATGTGGTTACTTTGAAAGCTTAAATTCTGACCTTTCACCTTTCTAAGAACTGGGAGTTTTGTGGAGCTTCTGGAGGTCACTGGTCTGGTGGTCCCCAGGGAGTGGGGGAACTCCCACAGATTGTCACACCCTCTGTCTCTCTGTCTCTGCTGGTCACCTGTTTTTGTCATGTTGGAGCTTTGATGTCAAAATGTAATCAATAAGAGGAAAATGTGGGAAGTCAGTGCATGGTGAGTGACTGTTCAGTAGGGTCTTCTCACAATTTTCTTCCATGGCCTTCCAGGGAGCAGGGCAGTGGAAAAGCAAGAGAAGTCTTGGGATGCGCTAGGGGTGGGAGAGTGGTGGGGCTGTGGCCCCAGTGGGGCCCAGGTTGCGGCGTACGTGGAGATGCTGGTGCAGTGACACCGTGGTTACCCTGGTCAGTTCGTCACCACATGGGAGAGAGGGCGGTTACCAGTGGCCAAGCAATATAAGGAACTCTGGATTTTAAGGAACACTGGCTACTCAGGCCAGAAAGCAACCGCAGCTGCGAGTTAGACAACACCTCCACCATACACGGC